ATAGCTTCGCTTCGCTTTGCTTAGCTTCGCTTCGCTTCACTAAGCTTTGCTTAGCAACGCTTAGCTTTGCTTCGCTTCTCTTAGCTTCGCTTCGCTTTGCTTAGCTTTGCTTCGCTTCGCGTAGCTTCGCTTCGCTTTGCTTCGCTTAGCTAAACTTCGCTTCGCTTCACTTTGCCCCGCTTCACTTTGCTTAGCTTCGATTCCCTTTGCTTAGCTTCGTGATCACTTTGCTTAGCTTCGCTTCTCTTTACTTCGCTTAGCTTAGCTTCGCTTCGCTTAGCTTCGCTCCGCTTAGCTTCGCTTAGCTGTGCATCGCTTCGCTTTGCTTTGCTTAGCTTCGCTTCCCTTCACTTTGCCCTGCTTCGATTCGCTTAGCTTCGCTTAGCTTCGCTTAGCTTCGCTTTGGTTTGGTTTGCTTCGCTTAGCTTCGCTTTGCTTAGATTCGCTTCGCTAAGCTTCGCTTAGCTTTGCTTCGCTTCACTTCGCTTTGCTTTGCTTCACGTCGCATCGCTTCCCTGAGCTTCGCTTAGCTTTGCTTAGCATCGCTTCGCTTAGCTTCGCTTCGCTTCGCTTAGCCTCGCTTTGCTTCTCTAAACTTTGCTTCGCTTCTCTTCGCTTAGCTTCGCTTAGCTTTGTTTCGCTTCGCTTAGCTTAGCTTCGCTTAGCTTCACTTCGCTTCGCTTGGCTTCCCTTCCCTTCGCTTAGCTTCGCTTTACTTCGCTAAGCTTCGCTTCCTTTCGCTTAGCTTCGCTTTGCTTCGCTTCGCTATCCTTAGCTTCGCTTCGCTTTGCTTCGCTTCCCTTTGCTTAGGTTTCCTTCGCTGAGCTTCGCTTCGCTTCGCTTGGCTTTGCTTAGCTTCTCTTTGCCTCGCTTAGCTTTGCTTTGCTTCGCTTCGCTTAGCTTTGGTTTGCTTCGCTTAGCTTCGCTTTGCTTAGATTCGCTTCGCTTATCTTCGCTTAGCTTTGCTTCGCTTCGATTAGCTTCGCTTTGCTTAGCTTCGCTTAGCTTAGCTTTGCTTCGCTTCGCTTAGCTTCGCTTAGCTCCGGTTAGCTTCGCTTAGCTTTGCTTTGCTTCACTTAGCTTCGCTTCGCTTCGCTTTGGTTTGCTACGCTTATCTTCGCTTGGCTTTGCTTAGCTTTGCTTCGCCTCGCTTAGCTTTGCTTCGCTTCGCTTAGCTTTGCTTCGCTTTGCTTAGCTTCGTGTTCGCTTCGCTTAGATTCGCTTAGCTTTGCTTCCCTTCGATTAGCTTCATGTCCGCTTTGCTTAGCTTCGCTTCTCTTCACTTCGCTTAGCTTCGCTTCCCTTCGCTTAGCTTCGCTTCGCTTCGCATAGCTTTGCTGCGCTTAGCTTCGCTTCAGTTTGCTTAGCTTCGCCTTGCTTCACCTAGCTTCGCTTAGCTTTGCTTAGCATTGCTTTGCTTCTCTTCGCTTTGCATAGCTTTGCTTCGCTTCACTTTGCCCCGCTTGGCTTCGCTTAGCTTCGCTTCCCTTCGCTTAGCTTCGTGATAGCATTGCTTAACTTCGCTTCTCTTCGCTTCGCTTAGCTTTGCTTAGCTTCGCTTCACTTCGCTTCGCTTAGCTTTGCTTAGTTTCTTTTAGCTTCGCTTCGCTTTGCTTCGCTTTGCTTCGCCTTGTTTCTTTTTGCTTCGCTCCGCTTCGCTTAGCTTCGCTTCGCTTTGCTTAGCTTCCCTTCGCTTCAATATGCTTTGCTTCCCTTTGCTTAGCTTTGTGTTCGCTTCGCTTAGCTTCGCTTCGATTAGGTTTATGTTCGCTTCGCTTAGCTTTGCTTCTCTTCGCTTCGATTGGCTTCGCTTCGCTTCGCATAGCTTCGCTTCGCTTTGCGTAGCTTCGCTTCGCTTTGCTTAGCTTCGCTTAGCTTTGCTTCGCTTCGCTTCGCTTCGCTTTGCTTAGCTTCTCTTCGCTTTGCTTAACTTCGCTTCGCTTCACTTTGCCCCGCTTCGCTTTGCTTAGCTTCGATTCCCTTCTCTTAGCTTTGCTTCACTTTACTTCGCTTAGCTTCGCTTTGCTTAACTTCGCTTTGCTTAGCTTAGCTTCGCTTAGCTTCGCTTAGCTTCACTTAGCTTTGCTCCGCTTAGCTTTGCTTAGCTTTCCTTCGCTTCGCTTTGCTTTGCTTAGCTTCGCATCCCTTCACTTTGCCCCACTTCGATTCGCTTAGCTTCGCTTCCCTTCGCTTAGCTTCGTGATGGCTTCGCTTTAATTCGCTTTGCATAGCCTCGCTTTGCTTTGCTTAGCTTTGCATGGCTTCGCTTAGCTTCGCTTCGCTTAGCTTCGCTTCGCCTCGGTTAGCTTCGCTTTGCTTTGCTTAGCTTCGTTTAGCTTCGCTTAGCTTTGCTTCGCATCGCTTAAGTTTGCTTAGCCTCACTTCGCTTCGCTTAGCTTTGCTTCGCTTCGCTTCACTGAGCTTAGCTTCGCTTAGCTTCGCTTCGATTTGCTTAGCTTCGCTTCGCTTCGCTTAGCTTTGCTTCGCTTCGCTTAGCTTCGCTTTGCTTCGCTTCGTTTTGCTTTGCTTCGCTTAGCTTCCCTTAGCTTCGCTTCGCTTAGCTTCGCTTCGCATAGCTTCGCTTTGCTTCGCTTAGCTTCGCTTTGCTTCGCTTCGCCTAGCTTCGCTTCGCTTTGCTTCGCTTCGCTTTGCTTTGCTTACCTTCCCTTCACTTTGCTTCGCTTCGCTTAGCTTTGCTTCGCTTAGCTTCCCTTAGCTTTGCTTCGCTTTGCTTCGCTTTGCATCGCTAGGCTTCGCTTAGCTTCGCTTCGCTTCGCTTAGCTTTGCTTCGCTTCGCTTAGCTTTGCTTCGCTTCGCTTAGCTTTGCTTTGCTTCGCTTAGCTTCGTTTAGCTTCGCTTAGCTTCGCTTTGCTTCTCTTTGCTTTGCTTTGCTTCGCTTTGCTTTGCTTAGCTTCGCTTAGCTTCGCTTAGTCTTGCTTCGCTTCGCTTCGCTTCGTATCGCATCGCTTCTTTTAGCTTCGCTTCACTTAGCTTCGCTTCGCTTAGCTTCGCTTCTCTTCGCTTAGCCTCGCTTTGCTTCTCTAAACTTCGCTTTGCTTCGCTTCGCTTCTCTTCGCTTCTCTTCGCTTTGCTTCGCTTAGCTTCGCTTAGCTTTGCTTAGCTTTGCTTAGCTTTGCTTAGCTTTGCTTCGCTTCGCTTAGCTTCGCTTCGCTTTGCTTCGCTTCGCTTAGCTTCGCTTTGCTTAGCTTTGCTTAGCTTTGTTCCGCTTTGCTAAGCTTCGCTACGCTTAGCTTCGCTTTGCTTCGCTTGGCTTCGCTTCGCTTCCCTTAGCTTCGCTTCGCTTCTCTTAGCTTCGCTTAGCTTTGCTTTGCTTCGCTTAGCTTCGTTTAGCTTCGCTTAGCTTCGCTTTGCTTCTCTTTGCTTTGCTTTGCTCCGCTTTGCTTGGCTTAGCTTTGCTTAGCTTTGCTTAGCTTTGCTTAGCTTCGCTTCGCTTAGCTTCGCTTCTCTTCGCTTAGCCTCGCTTTGCTTCTCTAAACTTCGCTTCGCTTCGCTTCGCTTCTCTTCGCTTTGCTTCGCTTAGCCTCGCTTAGCTTCGCTTAACTTTGCTTCGCTTCGCTTAGCTTAGCTTCGCTTTGCTTCGCTTCGCTTAGCTTTGCTTTTCTTAACTTTGCTTAGCTTTGTTCCGCTTTGCTAAGCTTCGCTTCGCTTAGCTTCGCTTTGCTTCGCTTAGCTTCGCTTAGCTTTGCTTCACTTCCCTTAGCTTTGCTTCGCATCTCTTAGGTTCGCTTAGCTTTGCTTCGCTTTGCTTAGCTTCGCTTAGCTTCGCTTTGCTTCTCTTAGCTTCGCTTCGCTCTGGTTAGCTTCATGTTCGCTTTGCTTAGCTTCGTGTTCGCTTCTCTTTGCTTCGGTTCGCTTAGCTTCGCTTCGCTTTGCTTCGCTTAGATTCGCTTAGCTTCACTTAGCTTTGCTTCGCTTGGCTTAGCTTCGCTTTGCTTAGCTTTGCTTAGCTTCGCTTCGTTTCGCTTAGCTTCGCTTAGCTTCGCTTCGCTTCGCTTAGTTTTGCTTTGCTTCGCTTAGCTTCTTTTAGCTTCGCTTAGCTTTGCTTTGCATTGTTAGAATTAAGGACGGAGTCTAGGTGAACTTAGGAGCTAGAATTACTCAAAATATAAATCCGAAATTCTGGACAGAAAAGTCGTCTTCACAAGAAACGACGTCGACGAGAACCTAGCCGTTGGAATGTCGCGAAACTTGGATATGTTGTAGCTCTTAATCTCAGCTACCGTTCCCAATTTGAATCATGTTGATTGATGAAGTATTCGTGACGCTATGGCTTTCGACGCACTAGGGGGTAAGCTGTAGGAGGAGAACTTAACTCAATCTCAAGAGTTCAATCAAAGTTCAAGAATCTCACAAGGAATTTTTTTTTGAGGAGCAAGAGAAAAGGTTGGGATAGGAAGAGAGGGATGAGAGGGAAGGTCCCAAGAGAGTCCCCAACCAAGGAAACCCCATAAGCACAAAGATTCCCTCCCTATAGGAACCTCAACTTTGACCTTTGTCCCTTCCCAACCAATCCATCCAAGTTGGCCACCCTTGCCAACCTAGCTTGGTTGTTCCCAACCTATTTGCAGCTGTTACAGTAGAGTGACAAGTTTCCCCAACCCCAAAGGTCCCAACTCCATATAAAGTCACCCCACAACTTCACTTAGTAACCGCCGCAATTGTAACGCAAGCTCATGAACTTTGAATCTTCATAGCTTTCGCGTTCTTGCTCCGATTGAAGCGATTCTTGTTGCGTCGGAAAGATCTTCTCAAGATCTATCATCACAAATACCTTGTGAGATTCTTGAACTTTGATTGAACTCTTGAGATTGAGTTAAGTTCTCCTCCTACAGCTTACCCCCTAGTGCGTCGAAAGCCATAGCGTCACGAATACTTCATCAATCAACATGATTCAAATTGGGAACGGTAGCTGAGATTAAGAGCTACAACATATCCAAGTTTCGCGACATTCCAACAGCTAGGTTCTCGTCGACGTCGTTTCTTGTGAAGACGACTTTTCTGTCCAGAATTTCGGATTTATATTTTGAGTAATTCTAGCTCCTAAGTTCACCTAGACTCCGTCCTTAATTCTAACAAGTGGTATCAGAGCGATATTGAGGACATTAAGAGGAGTCTACAGAAGTTTGAAGACCCTTCTAGACCCACCATGGCCTGTGGGTGTGCCTAAGTGGTGTTCTAAAGGTTGGATGTGTCTTCCGCTAAGGGGAAACTCTGCCGAAATTTCGTGGACGCCGACACTTGTGAAAATATCGAGGGAGCTGAGTGTGGACAGCAAAGGGTAGCTGAAATTCGTCATTTCTCAAGGAGAAGATGAATGAGAGAGGAGGAGATGCTAATGGGAGAGGAGCTGTAGCTGAGAAGACAAGTGAGCCGCCGCCATCAAAAGTTGAAGCTTTGGATGGCTCCAACTATGAGGAATGGAGCGGGCGGATGAGGAGTGCCTTCAAACGCTACAAGCTACTGAAGATTGCTGTTGGGGAGGAGAAGATGCCGGAAGAAGGCGAAGCACGTGAGCGGTGGATTGAGAAAAGCGCGGTGCTTTTTGACCTCATCCTTCAATCGGTCAACAAGGAGATGTTCGAGCACATCAAGGATCTTGTGGAAGCGGATGATTCGGGTCCAAGGGCGTGGAAACTACTACGTGATGTGATTCAGCCCAACACTCTCCCAATGGTGATCGTGCTCGAGAAGGAACTTGCTGCCATCTCCATGCGACCAGGGGACAATGTGAAGCCGGTCCTTGACAAGATCAAGGACACCTATGCAAGGATGGCAGCAGCGGGCAGCAGTGTATCTCAGCTGCAGCAGTGCACCAAGATCATCTCGGTGTTGGACAACTCTTGGGACAACCTCATCCCCACCCTCAACTCTCAGCAAGATCAATGGACACCTGAGTGGCTAAGGCAGCAGATTCTGCAAGAGGACTTCCGTAGACGCCATGTGGGAGGCGGTGCTGCCACGAAGACTGCTGAGGGGTATGGAGCTGCAGGGCGCGGCAAAGGAAGAGGGGGTTGGAGAGGCCGAGGCCGTGGGAGGAGCTTTGGCAGAGGTAGAGGCCGAGGTGACTATAATGAGGGGCATGGGAGCTCCAGTGGCAGGGGGAGTACCAGAATGGAGGGCACCTGCTGGTACTGCAAGAAGGTCGGGCATCCTTGGTTCAAGTGCTTCAGCAGGCCGGAGGGATGGTCACCTCCAGGCATGAAGCCGCCAAGTGGTGAACGCGCACAAGGTGGCGCTGTGCAAGGCTCAGGTGCACAAGGTGAAGGTGCACAAGGTAACGCCTATCCTGGGATGTATCTCATGGTTGAGGATGTGCATGGGCATGAGGGTGATGTGGGATCTGTGGGAAAGGTTGTGATGCACCCTCTCACGCACTGGGTGATTGATTCGGGTTGCACCAGTCACATGACTCCACGGGCAGATTTGCTTGATGAGGTAAAACCCCCTGGGAAGATCAAGTATGTGGCAGCAGCGTCAGGTGCTTTGCTCCCCGTGATTGGTGTTGGGAATGCCAAGGTTAAGGGAGCTAATGGGGAGCTTGTGGGGCTTGGGAATGTTCTGCTGGTTAAAGGCTTGTCTGCTAACCTTCTCTCTGTGCGGCGACTGCAGAAGAGTAAGGCCGAAGTGACCTTTGGACCAACCAGCTGCCGTGCTAAGCTTGGGAAGAAGGTGCTGTGGAGTCTGGAAGAGGAGACCAGCTGCATCAAGGACCTGTGGCAGCTGCCCATCATCCCTTGGAATGGGAAGACTCCAACACCAGCAACGGCAGCAGCGGCAAAGGCAACAGCAGGAGGAGATGCAACTGCACCAACTGATGGGGTCCTGGAAGCAGTCAAGAAAGTGCAGCAGCAGCAGACACATGGTGAGGTGCTTGCTGGTGTGGATGCGAGTGCGGCATGGGCTAAGGCTTCATCAAGGAGTGGAGAGGCCGATTGGGAGACATGGCATGAGAGGTTGTGTCATGTGAACTTCCCTATGCTGCAGAAGTTGGTGAAGAATGGGAGCCTGAAGGGCTTGGAGGTGAAAGGGGAAGTGAAGGAGATTGGGAGCTGCCCTACATGCTTGGAGACCAAGTTCTCCAAGTTCCCCTTCAACAGTGCAACAGGACCAGCCAAGACCCCACTTGCACTTGTGCACATGGATGTGGTGGGGCCCACAAGAGCCCCTTCCCTCTCAGGCAGCCGCTATTTCTTGACAATTGTGGATGACCACACTCGGGCAGTGTGGGTTTACCCTGTGAACAGCAAGGGGGAGGTGGCAGCGGCTGTCCTTAAGGAGTGGATGCCTAGAGCTCAGAGGGAATGCGGACACAAGGTGAAGGTGATCCGCAGTGACAATGGTGGGGAGTTCATTGGAGCTGATTTTGAGGGGGAGTTGAAGAGGAAGGGGATCCAGCATCAACTGACAGTGCCCTATAATCCGTCCTTAATCGTAACATGCATCACTTAGCTTTGCTTCAATTCTCTTCGCTTCGTGTCGCATCGCTTCCCTTAGCTTCGCTTCGCTTAGCTTTGCTTTGCTTCGCTTAGCTTCGCTTAGCTTTGCTTAGCTTTGCTCCGCTTTGCTTAGGTTCGCTTCGCTTAGCTTCGCTTCGCTTCCCTAAGCTTCGCTTCGCTTCTCTTAGCTTTGCTTAGCTTTGCTTCGCTTTGCTTCGCTTCGCTTAGCTTCGCTTAGCTTTGCTTTGCTTCTCTTAGCTTCGCTTTGCTCTGGTTAGCTTCGTGTTCGCTTTGCTTAGCTTCATGGTCGCTTCGCTTAGCTTCGCTTTGCTTCGCTTAGCTTCACTTAGCTTCACTTAGCTTTGTTTCGCTTCGCTTAGCTTAGCTTCGCTTCTCTTAGCTTCGCTTCGCTTTGAGTAGCTTCGCTTCGCTTCGATTAGCTTTGCTTCGCTTTGCTTAGCTTCGCGTTCGCTTCGCTTAGCTTTGCTTCGCTTTGATTAGCTTCGTCTTCGCTTAGCTTAGCTTCGCTTCGCTTCGCTTCGCTTAGCTTCGCATCGCTTCACTTAGCATTGATTCGCTTTGCTTCGCTTAGCTTCGCTTAGCTTTGTTTCGCTTCGCTTCGCTTAGCTTCGTGATGGCTTCGCTTAGCTTCACTTTACTTCGCTTTGCATAGCTTCGCTTCACTTTGCTTAGCTTTGCTTTGCTTTGCTTAGCTTCGTTTAGCTTCGCTTAGCTTTGCTTTGCATCGCTTAAGTTCCCTTAGCTTCACTTCGCATCGCTTAGCTTTGTTTCGCTTCACTTCACTGAGCTTAGCTTCGCTTCGCTTCGCTTAGCTTCGCTTCGATTTGCTTAGCTTCGCTTAGCTTTGCTTCGCTTCGCTTAGCTTCGCTTTGCTTCGCTTCGTTTTGCTTAGCTTCGCTTCGCTTAGCTTCGCTTAGCTTCGCTTCGCTTAACTTCGCATAGCTTTGCTTCGCTTAGCTTCGCTTCGCTTTGATTTGCTTCGATTCGCTTCGCTCCGCTTAGCATTGCTTTGCTTAGCTTAGCTTTGCTTAGCTTCGCTTACCTTCGCTTCGCTTAGGTTCACATCGCTTCGCTTAGCTTTGCTTCGCTTCGCTTAGCTTCGCTTCGCTTTGCTTAGCTTCGCTTCGCTTCGCTTAGCTTTGCTTCGCTTAGCTTCCCTTAGCTTCGCTTCGCTTAGCTTCACTTCGCTTCGCTTAGCTTCGCTTCGCTTCGGTTAGCTTCGCTTTGCATCGCTAAGCTTCGCTTCGCTTGGCTTAGCTTCGCTTCGCTTAGCTTTGCTTCGCTTCACATTGCTTCGCTTAGCTTTGCTTTGCTTCGCTTAGCTTCGTTTAGCTTCGCTTAGCTTCGCTTTGCTTCTCTTTGCTTTGCTTTGCATCGCTTAGCTTTGCTTTGCTTCGCTTAGCTTTGCTTCGCTTAGCTTCGCTTAGCTTTGCTTTTCTTCTCTTTGCTTCGCTTTGCTTTGCTTTGCTTCCCGTAGCTTTGCTTCGCTTCGCTTTGCTTTGCTTTGCTTCGCTTAGCTTTGCTTTGCTTCGCTTCACTTAGCTACGCTTAGCTTCGCTTTGCTTTGCTTAGCTTCGTTTAGCTTTGCTTCGCTTCGCTTAGATTCGCTTTGCTTCTCTTAGCTTTGCTTCGTTTCACTTCGCTTCGCTTTGCTTCGCTTCGCTTCGCTTTGCTTTGCTTTGCTTCGCTTTGCTGCGCTTCGCTTAGGTTCGCTTCGCTTTGCTTTGCTTCGCTTCGCTTCGCTTAGCTTCGCTCAGCTTTGCTTCGCTTCACTTCGCTTTGCTTTGCTTCACGTCACATCGCTTCCCTTAGCTTCGCTTGGCTTTGCTTAGCATCGCTTCGCTTAGCTTCGCTTCGCTTCACTTAGCCTCGCTTTGCTTCTCTAAACTTCGCTTAGCTTCGTTTAGCTTGGCTTAGCTTTGTTTCGCTTGGCTTAACTTCGCTTCGCTTTGCTTAGCTTTGCTTAGCTTTGCTTCTCTTAGCTTCGCTTCGCTTCGCTTTGCTTAGCTTCGCTTTGCTTCCCTTAGCTTCTCTTCGCTTCTCTTGACTTCGCTTAGCTTCGCTTAGCTTCGCTTTGCTTCTCTTAGCTTCGCTTCGCTTCGCTTCGCTTACCTTCGTGCGCGTTTCGCAAAGCTTCGTGTTCTCTTCGCTTCGCTTAGCTTCGCTTAGCTTTGCTTCGCTTCGTTTTGCTTCGCTTAGCTTTGCTTAGCTTTGCTTCGCTTCGCTGAGCTTCGCTTCGCTTTTCTTAGATTCGCTTCGCTTCGATTAGCTTCGCTTCGCTTCGATGAGCTTTGCTTCGCTTCGCTTAGCTTCGCGTTTGCTTCGCTTAGCTTCGCTTCGCTTTGATTAGCTTCGTCTTCGCTTCACTTAGCTTCGCTTCTCTTCGCTTCGCTTAGCTTCGCTTCGCTTCTCTTAGCTTCGCTTCGATTCGCTTAGCCTCGCTTAGCTTCACTTAGCTTCGCTTCGCTTCCCTTAGCTTTGCTTCGCTTCGCTTAGCTTAGCTTCGCCTCGCTTCGATTAGCTTTGCTTCGCTTTGCTTAGCTTCGCGTTTGCTTCACTTAGCTTTGCTTCGCTTCGCTACGATTAGGTTCGTGTTCGCTTCGCATAGCTTCGCTTCGCTTCGCTTCACTTAGCTTCGCATCACTTCCCTTAGCTTCGCTTCGCTTCGCTTCGCTTTGCTTCTCTTCGCTTCTCTTCGCTTCGCTTCGCTTCACTTTGCCCCGCTTCGCTTTGCTTAGCATTTCTTCCCTTCGCTTAGCTTCGTGATCGCTTTGCTTAGCTTCGCTTAGCTTCGCATCGCTTCGCTTAGCTTCGCTCTGCTTAGCTTTGCATCGCTTGGCTTGGCTTCGCTTCGCTTTGCTTGGCTTCGCTTCGCTTCGCTAAGCTTAGCTTCGCTTCGCTTCTCTTAGCTTCACTTAGCTTTGCTTCGCTTTGCTTAGCTTCGCTCCGCTTCTCTTCGCTTCTCTTCACTTAGCTTCGCTTTGCTTTGCTTAGCTTCGCTTCCTTTCGCTTAGTTTGGCTTAGCTACCCTTCGCTTTGCTTAGCTTTGCTTCGCTTTGCTTAGCTTCGCTTCGCTTCGCTTAGCTTTGCTTAGCTTGGCTTCGCTTCGCTTCGCTTCGATTAGCTTCGTGTTCACTTCGCTTAGCTTCACTTCGCTTCTCTTAGCTTCACTTAGCTTCGCTTCGCTTCGCGTCGCTTCTCTTAGCTTCGCTTCACTTCGATTAGCTTCGCTTCGCTTAGCTTAGCTTTGCTTAGCCTTCTTAGCTTCGCTTCGCTTCGGTTATCTTCGCTTAGCTTCGCTTAGCTTCCCTTCGCATCGCTTAGCATCGCTTAGCTTGGCTTAGCTTGGCTTAGCTTCGCTTTGCTTCCCTTAGCTTCGCTTAGCTTTGATTAGCTTCGCTTAGCTTCTCTTAGCTTCGCTTAGCTTCGCTTCGCTTTGTTAGAATTAAGGACGGAGTCTAGGTGAACTTAGGAGCTAGAAATACTCAAAATATATATCCGAAATTCTGGACAGAAAAGTCGTCTTCACAAGAAACCACGTTGATAAAAAAACTAGAAGTTGGAATGTCGCGAAAATCGGATATGTTTTAGCTTGTAATCTTAGCTACTGTTCGCAATTTGAATTACGTCGTTTGATGGAGTATCCACTACGCTATGTGTTTCGACGCACTAGAGGGTAAGCTGTAGGTGGAGAAAAGTTCAATCAAAGTTCAAGAATCTCACAAGGAATTAGAGGAGCAAGAGAAAGGTTGGGATAGAAGAGAGGGATGAGAGGGAATGTCCTAAGAGAGTCCCCAACCAAGGAAACCCCATAAGCACAAAGATTCCCCCCGTATAGGAACCCCAACTTTGACATTTGTCCCTTCCCAACCAATCCATCCAAGTTGGCCACCCTTGCCAACCTAGCTTGGTAGTTCCCAACCAATTTGCAGCTGTTACAGTGGAGTGACAAATTTCCCCAACCCCAAAGGTCCCAACTCCATATAGAGTCACCCCACAACTTCACTTAGTAACCGCCGCAATTGTAACACAAGCTTATGAAGCAAAGGTCCCAACTCCTCCCTTAGATTTGCTTCACTTCGCTTAGCTTCGCTTCGCTTTGCTTAGCTTCACTCCGCTTCCCTTAGCTTCGCTTCGCTTCGCTTAGCTTGTTTAGCTTCGCTTCGCTTAGCTTTGTTTCGCTTCGCTTCTCTTAGCTTCGCTTAGCTTCGCTTAGCTTCGCTTTGCTTCGCTTAGCTTTGCTTTGCTTCGCTTACCTTCGCTTTACTTCGCTTAGCGTCGCTTCGCTTCTCTTCGCTTCACTTTGCTTAG